GCATGACATCTTTTTTCCTACCCTCCCATGGCAGCGGGGTCCTATTGGAAACTAAGGGATATTAAGGCCTCCATTTAATAGAGTACCGGAACAAAGCATTAACACATAGTGAATACATGAACTCCTCAAACTATAGTCATCACCGGGAGCGGTCCCGATTATTGTCACTTCGCGGTTACCGGATCATAACACATAGTAGGTGACTATTGACTTGCAAAATAGGATCAAGAACTCACATATATTCATGGAAACATAATAGGTTCATATCTGAAATCATGGCACTCGGGCCCTAGTGACAAGCATTAAGCATAGCAAAGTCATAGCAACATCAATCTCAGAACATAATGGATACTAGGGATCAAACCCTAACAAAACTAACTCGATTACATGATAAATCTTATACAACACATCACCGTCCAGCAAGCCTACGATGGAATTACTCACGCACGGCGGTGAGCATCATGAAATTGGTGACGGAGAAAGGTTGATGATGACCATGGCGACGGATTTCCCTCTCCGTAGCCCCAAACGGACTCCAGATCAACCCTTCCGGGAGAGATTAGGGCTTGGCGGCGGCTCCGTATCGTAAAACGCGATGAATCCTTCTCTCCTACTTTTTCTCCCCGAACGTGAATATATAGAGTTGGAGTTGAGGTCGGTGGAGCCTCAGGGGGCCCATGAGACAGGGGGCGCGCCCCCCACCCTCGTGGACAGGGTGTGGGCCCCCTGGTTTGATTCTTTCGCCAGTTTTTTTATAAATTCCAAAATATTCTCCGTGAAGTTTTAGGTCATTCCGAAAACTTTTATTTCTGCACAAAAATGACACCATGGCAATTTTGCTGAAAACAGCGCCAGTCTGAGTTAGTTCCATTCAAATCATGCGAGTTAGAGTCCAAAACAAGGTCAAAAGTGTTTGGAAAAGTAGATACGATGGAGACGTATCAGTACAATGTAAGTATACCTCGTTGTCTATGTACAACCAAACATCATGTAGTTGCATGAGTACAACCAATGCAAGACATCAACCTCATGCCAACATTGCTCCACTAATGGAGGTAGTCTAGATCCGTGAAACCAACGATGTGCACATGATAGTTTTTTCCTCATCCTGTCTCACATGTAATGCAGGCAAAATCGTTGCGGGCAACCAAACGTTTCTAACACCACGGGTATATCTTTGCATGCAATGACATTAGAAGCTTCTAGAAGAAATCCAGCAAAGCCGTCCATGAAAGGTAATGCCATGATTAATTCATCCATCCATGACTATGGGGAAAACTGATAGCCAACATGCACAACAGAGTAAGAGATATCTCGGAGTAAGATAAAGCAGTGGTCTTGATGGCGTCCGAGAAGTCAACAGCACACGTGGAACAACGCGTCGTGACTATATCTTGCATTAAGCGAGATGGTAGGAACTCTCACTGCAAGCTTCAATGGTAACGGGCTGGCCCACTCGCGCACACTTTAGAAGCAAAATAGTGAAGAAAAAGGAGTGCACGGGGGAGTGGACCCCAACCAGCGGGCTAGCATTGGGTTCCCGATGAAGTAATATGACAGGGTATACTTCACGCGAAATGAGCCCACTTTCCACTGGTTTTTTTTCTTCCAGTTTTCCCTCTTTATACTATTTTTTCTTTATTTTCTTTTTGTTCATTTTTGTACGGTCTTCTATGTTTTTCATTTTCTTTTTTCCTATTGTTTTTTGTTAGGTTTTATTGTTTCTTCTCTGATTTTTTGTTTTTCTTTTGTTTTTTTATTTGTTTTTTTCATTGTTTTTATCAGTTTTTCTATTCTTACTCATTTCCCTTCTTTTTTGAGTACATAGTCAACATTTGTTCTATACATATTTAACATTTTCCAAAGACAAGTTTAACATTCTTTGAATACATGGTCAACGTTTTTCCTATGCACATTTAAAAAAATCAAAAAAAGTTTAACATTTTTTAATACATGGTCAATATTTTTTCTATACATACTTAACATTTTTTAATACAAGTTTAACATTTTTCGAATACAAGTTTAATTTTTTTAATACATGGTCAATATTTTTTATATACACATTTAACATTTTTCAAACACAAGCTTAACATTCTTTGAATACATCGTCAATATTTTTTCTATACACATTTAACATTTTTCAAAGACAATTTAACATTTTTTGAATATATAGTCAACATTTTTTTATACACATTAAAAAAAATTCAAAGACAAGTTTAACATTCTTTGAATGCATGGTCAACATTTTTTCTATATACATTTAACATTTTTCAAATACAAGTTTAGCATTTTGTTAATACATGGTCAACACTTTTTATGTACACATTTTATATTTTTCAAATACAGCTTAACATTTTTCGAACACTTGTTCAACATTTTAAAAAATGCTTGAATTAATATTTTTAAGTACATGGTCAACAGTTTTTATTTACACATTTCACGTTTTATATTTTTTCTATACATGATAAACATTTTTGCTATACACATTTAACAGTTTTTAAATGCCTGATTAACATTTTTTGAAATACTTTATGTAAAGTACTTTTTGTAATATAGAATATCTGTAAATATAAATAAAGTAAAAGTAAACAAAAAAGCAAAAGCAAAAGTCAAAAAATGAGAATATGGCCTATGGCCTATGGCCTCTGGTCAGCAGCTCGATGGGCCAGCCCAATATGGAGCTCGCCTTCACCGAGACTTCCTCTGTTCTCGCTGGCGAGACATATCAGTGCCCCATGGAACAGCGGTGCATCTTGGAAATTGACTGTCACCAGGCTTTGTCTTGGTTGTCTATAATCCGAGATATTTGATTTTTCTTCTCGCTGTAGGCGAGACATATCAGCACTCCATGGAACAGCGGCACATCTTGGAAATTGGCTGTCACTAGGCTTTTGTCTTGGTTGTCTATAATTCGAGATATTTGATTTTTCTAGTCTTTGACCAGAAGTCAATCTATTTTATTTCTAAAAAGTGAGTTTGAGCCCACCCTAAGTTACTGGGCCTAAACATATAGTAAAAGCATTCAAATTTGGTTGCCAATCTCCGCTCGCATCGGTCCCTCTTCTCTCGCCCACCTATTTGGTGCCCTCGGCGCCTGTTATATGCTATTCTAGAACAGGTGCACACCCCCTTCTATCTTGGGCCCGTCCTGTTTTATTTATTTATTTATTTTATCCTTCAAGGAATGGGTGTGCGACGTGAGATTCAAATGCCCGACCTAACAGTTTAGTACCACCCACGGTAACCACTTGTGAAAGCTTAGCCCATGTGACTACTTACTTCTTTTTTCTTTCTTGTTATGCGTCAAATGTAACACTAAAAAATACAATGCCTTACTTGTTTGATTTTCTTTTTTTGTTTTGTTTTGTTTGGCTAGTTCTTCTTTGTTTTTTTCATTCAATTTTTCCTTAGGAATTTTTCTATTTATTTTCATTTTATTTTCCTTTTTATATATTCAGTAATGTTTTTCCAAAATTATGAATACTTCTAATTCGTGAACATTTTTCAAAATTAGATCATTTTTGTAAAATTGGCGAACTTTTTTTCGAATACGTGAAATTTTATAGAATACATAAATGTTGTTCAAATCCAGGGGCTCTTTTAAATTTTCAAAAACTTTTGCCAAATCCGTGAACTTTTTTGAATGCATGAATGTTTTTCAAATCCATGAGCTCTTTTCAAAGTTTATATGATCTTCTTTTTAAATCCACAAACTATATCCAAATTCATGTTTTTTTTTCAATTTATGAACTCTTTATTTTTCAAAATCGATAAAATTTTTGCATTTTCATGAACTTTTTCTAATATCATGAACTTTTTTAAATTTGTGATTTTTCTAAATCTAATGAACTTTTTTGGATTTCACAACTTTTTTCAAATTCACGATCTTTTTTCAAATTGATGAACATTTTATCAAATTCATGGACTTTTCTTGTGAATTGTTTTTCATATTTTTATGAACTTTTCTCTCAGATGAATAGACTTTTTAAAAATGTCTGTGAACTTTTTCGAATTCATAATTTTGTTCAGTGGTATTAAAAAGACGGTTGTTTTTCCTACCAGACCAACAGCACACAAAAAGACTAGCAGGCGAAGCGAGGGAATAGCTGGAGTGAGTATGGGCCACAGCCGGCTTGCATGCACGCGAAGCGCTTAAGGCACTAGGGAGGACCTCCCCTCTTCTAATGTCGCGTGTCCTGTGTGGCGCCCACGCGACCGCTTGCCACACCCTTATACCTTCCCCTTTGCCTCTAGGCCATCCGTGTTGTGTGCCCATCCTTTCGTCCACCTCCTACCCGCGTCGGTGCGGCTCCTCCGGTACTCTTTGCTCTCCTCACCTATAACCACCGCTAGCCCATCTCAATCTCGCTCCTCCGGTATGCTCGATGTCACCGGACCTTGCTCTACCAGTGGGTTGTAGATCACACCGTTTGTGAGGGACGAGCGACGTTGGAAAAATCTATCTCACAAGCTCCTCGAAGCGGGCACGGGGTGCTGCTACGGGAGCCAGAGGCAAGGAGTGACCACACTGGACGAGTGCCGCAAGCTCGCATGGCTTGGTGTTGCATCCATCACGGAGCTCGCCACTCGATGCTTCAGCGCACCTAGAGGGTTTGCGGCCGCCGGGCGACTTCAGGGTGGTCGTGCTGGAACCGTCGGACGACCATACTGTGACTGTGGGCGCCCGTGCTAGAACCATTGGACGGACGGGTTACGACGCGCAGGTGACCATGCAGAGATCATCGACTGTAAAAAAAAATTAGACATGATACTTCAACTTTCGCAATGGAATATTGATCTCAACAAAAGAAAAGATGGTTGGGCACATTAACAGATGTAAATGTCGGCACGTTTTCGGGAAAACATGAATGAAACCACAACCATAATGAATACATAGAAAACCTCGTGACGAATTGGCAAGCCTGTGTATCGGTGACTCGTGTATATCGGTGATCAGTAAAAGTTGTAATAAGTATACAAATCCGCGTAGCATCCAATTACTACCAGGGTTTGCAACTGTTTATGCTGTTTAGCCAGCCTTTGGCAATATAGCGGTGGGCTGCCTCGGTGAAATGGCCGTCCCAGTAGAGATATTGAGACGGGTCCTGGCACACCGTGGCGCCTGGCATACCGCAACCGGCGCTTATGTTGAAGTTGTACTTGCCACCTCCACCGCAGCAACAACTCAGAACATCCGTGGTAAGCCCTACACATTGCAATAAGGAAGTAAATAAACAACTTGTGTCAGAACAAGCGATGCCATCTTAATCAGCACCACAGCTTGAACGAGCAAACTGGACAGAGATTGATCAAATTTGTCAGTAGATTGACAAAGACGGTTACTGACCAAATTTGTAGGGAGACTCCACCATCTCGATGACGGGGGTGAAGAAATCGGCGTAGATGACCCGGGCATCTGGGTGGTTTCCCCGGACCGTGTCGAGGGCCTTCCGCAGCTCCGAGTTGTGGTGCCTGGCTATCTCGTTGAGGCCTTTCAGGCATCCGGTGCTGGACTCGTAGCCTGCCGTCTCGTTACTGGGGAAGAAGACCAGATTCGGCGGCATGCATCCCAGCGGCGGGATCCCGGGGACCACCACGGTCTTCGCCCCCTGCCCGAGTAGCGCCTGCTCGGCGTTTACAGGGTCGCATATCTACCATGATCAGCGCCGGCCGACTTCAGATAGAGTTGTTCAGACTGATAGATCCGGCATGGTTACCTCAGTGGCCGCGGCGATGGTTTTGACGACGTCGGGGACGATGGATCTGAGCTGTGGCAGGGTCATTCCGAAGACAGCGAAGCTGTAGTCGTTGAGGCCGATTTCGCCCATGAAAAAGAGCGTCCTGTGGAAGAAGCCCGGGCACTCTGCAACACACACACAGAGCGTACGTAAGTTCACTCACTGTCCCAAGGATATTATCATATCAAATCTATCAACACATATCACTGAGTTTGGAATTGGAAATGCTAGTAATTGATTACCTTGGGCGTGCACAGCGACGGCTTGAGCGACTGGAACCACCCCAGCTGCACGCTGGAGCTGGTGTTGAGAACAAACGAGCCTACAAGCGGGATGTCCCTGAAGAAACTGGCGTTGAGAGCGGTGGCGCCCGCCACGGCGAAGTTGACGCCCTCGCTGAAGCTGCCGTTGTGCGAGAGGTACGGCGGGAGAAACGGCAGACCGAGCTTCTCAGCTGCACGTACGCCGGCCAAGCAAGCACAGATACATACATCAGCACGAGAAGAAGAAAGTAAGTAAGAGTGGCCGGGAAGGGCGTGCGTACCGATGAAGTCGATGATGAGGCGGCCGTTGGAGTAGCGGCCCGTGGGGCGGCCGAAGAAGGTCATGCCGTAGGGAGGCTGCACCGTCAGGTCGAACCGCGATTTCTCCGCCAGGACGACGACAGCGTTCCCGGTGTCGGTGAAGGAGTCGCCGAAGGTGATGATGGAGTCGTAGCGCCGGGGGGACGAGACGGCGGGCTCCACGGACGCGAGGGCGAGGACCGCCGCGAGGACGCAGAGCAGCTTCATCGTCGCTCCTCGCCCTGGGAAGCTCGGGCCAGTCGACGGGAGAGGAGATGAAGTTAATGGAGTACGACTACGAGCGTAGACTCTACGAAATTTATAGTACTATTGTTCTACATGTATACTGGTACATGGTCGCCTGCAGCTAATGGCAAGTTGGCCACGCCCAAATTTTGCGCGTCAACTGGTTTCATGTTTTTATAAAAGAGTAAAGAAAACGACTCATCGTGCCCGAGAGGTGACCTAGAAAAAAAGAGAAACTTGTCATAAATACAAATATAGTACTCCCTCCGTCCCGAAAAACATGTCGTGGGCGTAGTTAACTGATAATTTTGCAAAAAACCCCTCGTGGTTTGAAAAGCGTTTCAAACAAGTCCCTCCACCCCGTCTTCTTCCTCCGTCCGTCGCCTGCACGTCGCCAGGGGCCGGCGCCGCAGCTGCGTGATTCGCCAGGGGCTGGCGAGCCCAGCTGAGCTCCTCCGCCATCGCCAAGTACATGCTCTCGCCGCCATCGGCAGTTACCTCCTCCACCGCTGCAGCCCAGATCTGCGCCGCCGCGGTACCCTCCCGCTGCGATTACCCGCGGGCATCGCCGGAATCTCCCACTACGTCTTCCTCGAGGCCGTGCGCGTTCCTCCTCGAGCTCGCCCGCATCCTCCTCAAGCCCGCGCACGTCCTCCTCGTGCTCCCGCGCGTCCTCCTCGAGCTCCGGCGCGTGCGCTGCCGTGATCTCCTACCGGCGTCGCCGGAGGCTGCCTCCACGATCCGGTGGACCAGGAGCACGCGCACGTGATACTCAATCTCCAGCGCGACCTCGTCGATCTCCCACGCCCGCGCACCCGTGCTGCTCCTTCTCCCCTGCCCACGCACCCGTGCGGCTGCTTCTCCCCTGTCGCCGGTGGTTTCTGCCCGTGCTGCTGCTGCTCCCCTGACCCTGCCCGTACTGCTGCTGCTCCACTGACCCTGCCCGTGCTGCTGCTGCTCCACTGAGCTGCCTGTGCTGCTGCTCCTTGACCCTGCCCGTGCTGCTGTTGCTCTACTCTGCACCCTGAAGAAGGTACAGTAAAAATGTGTGATGGTGATGTAAAACTTCAATTGGAGAAAAATAATTCTGCTTATGATGGTGATGTAAAACTGTGTGTGATGGAGCAGAAAAATACTTCTGCTTATGGTGCCCAGTGGATACAAATCTGACTGAAAATGTACATGGACCACAACTTAGTTTCAGTTTTGTTGGTCTACTAGTTACTCCAACAGTAGAAGAGCAGAACATGCTTGCTTCTTCCTCATTTATCTGTCATTAGTACTGAATCACTAAATGAACAATGGGAGTAATTCACTAAATAGTGTCACTTATTTAGTGTTAACACTGATTTAGTAACACTAAACAGAGGAGTATGGCAGCAGCAATTCAGTTAACACTGATTCAGTTAACAGTCAACAGTTTCATTTGAATTACAGTGAACTTTTAAAGTTATCAGTCAACAGTTTTTGATCAAAATTTTAAAGTTAACAGTCAACAGTTTTTGAATTACAGTGAATTACAGTTAACAGTCAACAGTTTCAGTTAACAGTCTTTGATCAAATTTTCATCACACAGAGAAAGGGAGTGAATTAATTTCTGAAGAAATAGACAGAATGCACAAGTTTCAGTTCATAATGAGAACAAAATTATTTGTTCTGTAACTTGATCAAAATAGCACTACATACTTTGACACTACATATTTTCAGGGGTACTAAAAATGCATAATGCTCGTATGTTCAGGGGTACCAAATGTTCAGAAGATATCAGTAAATGCACCAAGAGCAACTAGTCATGCTATCTTGACAGCAATTAGCAGGACTATTGCCTTAGATGCTTCTCTACTCTACTCTACTGCTATGCTATGCTACATCACATCACATCAAATCAGGAGTGATTTACAACACTCTGTTTTGCACTCAATCAATTTCTTATCTAATCTCCCATGCTCATATATAGAGGTCCTAGGAACTCTGTCAGTCCTGTCATTTAAAGTCCAATAATTCTTTTAATTCAGTTAAAATGTTGTTGATTGAGTTAAAACTGGCATCTTGTCATTATTAAAAATTCAGTTAAAATGCAGTGTTAAAACTGTAGCTATCTACTCATGACCATATCTAGCAGAAGTGTTGACATTAGTACTCCTCCTACCACTTTGTGCAGAGATTATCTAATCAATAAGGTTATCCCGGCAATTCAGGATAAGTGGCCTGAGGATGACGAGGGAGCAACAATATTCATCCAACAGGATAATGCAAAGCCCCATGTCCTTCCCAATGATGTAGCTTTTCGAGAAGCTGTGGAACAAACTCATCTTGACATCCGATTGCTACAACAGCCGCCAAATAGCCCTGAGTTAAATTGTTTGGACCTCTGCTTCCATACCTCTCTCCAGTCTCTAACCGACTGCAGGTCACCCACAAACATCCAAAAACTGGTACAAGGTGTGGAAGAGGAATTCGAGAACTACGATCCCGACAAGTTGCACAGAAGCTTTATCACATTAGAAGCAGTTATGTTTGAAGTTATGAAAGACAAAGGAGGAAATCAATATAAGTTGCCCCACTTGCACAAGGATCGCATTCAGAATGCTGGCGGGGAAATCATCAGTGTATATTGCGACAGTCGGGTAGTTGTTGATACTAGGGCCATTATAGAAGAAATGGAAATTGCATTAGGAAAAGAAAATGATAGGAAAGAATTGGCTAAAGAAGGGAGAAGAAAGAAAAGTAAAGGGAAGGGAAGGGAAGAAGTGGCCAGAGAAAGGAAAAGAATGTAGTCAAGAGGGGGCAAAGAGGCCCTTATGTCATGTAGTCAGGTGCTCCTTGTGTATGCCTTGTGTAATCTTGTGTCAAGAGGGGACAAAGATGCCCTTATGTCATGTGTAATCTTGTGTCAAGAGGGGACAAAGAGGACCTTATGCCATGCCCTTGTGTATGCCTTGTCTAATCCTTGTATATAAACTCCTTGTTGGAATTTATTGGAATTTGGGTTATTTGGAATTTGAATTGATTTGGATTAATTTTAGTTATTTGAATTAATTTAAAATATTTGGATTAATTTGAATAATTTGGATTAAAACTGAATATTTGTGCTAACTTACTTTGCAATTTGTGCTAACTTAATTATTTGTGCCATAATGTTGGCCATTTTAGAAATGCACTAATTAAATTTCTAAAATGAAGCTATAGATATACAGTGTTATGTTCTGACAATAGCTAGGTACTGTAGATAGGATAGCAAATTTGTAGAACCAGTTGAGTTAATTTGAGCAAGTCTTGAGATGATGAACTTGCTGTCAGTTGACATGATGAACTTACTGTTAATAAAAAGCACTGTTGTTATGTTATAAAAACTGTAGTATGAAAAGCAACCGAGAACAAATTAGTCCAATAGCAGTCCTTTTTTGTTTTGGATTAATTTTAGTTATTTGAGTAAATTTTGAGTAAAATGACAGTACTTCGGAAAATATGGAGTAATGCATAAATTTGTACTCCAGCAAGTTTATTGCATACTCTGACTGAACTTTAGTTTACTGTTAAATGGCACTTGGGGTTATCTAGTTGATCAACCTCATGTTTCACTTTATTCCTCCTTTGCTGTGGACTGGGGGTTATCTAGCAGATTTCCATGCATGGTTGATTGGTCAGAAAAATAACTAACCCAGCCAGCTCTCATGTGGCTCTAGATTAGACCCCAATTGTTGAATTGTTCATAATACTCCAAAAATGATGGAGTACTACTGTTCATATGCATGCAAGATTGTAACTGTGCAAAATACCCCAAACTCTAAACTAACAGAACTAGTGCAAAAGTGTTGATAATCTAGAGGCTCTTTTCAACTAGCAGAACTGTGTACTCCTACTAATAGTAGGACTACTGCTAGTAATCTAGAGGCTCTTGTAAGCTAATGTTTACAACCAGAAAATGGACAGATTTAAAAATATCGCACATGTTATATTTGCAACACAAATAGAAGGGGGGATCTTATTTTACTGGTGGATCTTGATCAATGGCTATGTAAAGAATTTGAATCAATTTCTACACAACAATACTGAATTGGGGGAAAGAATGAGAGGAGCCCAACATGAGAAGTGATGGACTATGGATACTGTTGCAATCAAAACCTTTTCTCGGTTAATTGGCAAAAAATAAATGCCGTAAGAAGAAGCGAGGCCACCAACACCCAGAACATGGTAAACAACGATGGCCTCCACTTCAAAAGGAGGATCATTGTTTCTGAAGCAAGTAACTTGCTCAGCATGTTTCTAAAGCCAGTAACT